GGCTTTGTTCATATTTTCTTATTCTTTTTTCTTTCTCTTTGTTGGAAGACCTTGTCTTCGTGCTCTGAATTTCTTTCTTCTACTTGTTCAATGCTATTGCTGAGACTTTCCAGAGCATTCTGCATTTCTGTCAGTGTTTCCGATGTTTCCTGAATTTTTCATTGTTTTTTTTCTTTAAGCTATCTATTTCCTGGAATATTTCTGCTTTCACTTCTATTGTTCTTTGAATTTCCTTGCATTGGGATTCACGTTTCTCTGGTCCCTCCCTGATTAGCTGAATAACTAGCTTCTTGAATTCTTTTTCAGGTAAACCGGGGATTTCTTCTTGGTTTGGATCCATTGCTGGTGAACTAGTGTGATCTTTTGGGGGTCCTAAAGAGCCTTGTTTTGTCCTGTTATCAGAGTTCGTTTTCTGGTTTCTTCTCATTTAGGTAGGCTCTGTCAGAGGGAAGGTCTAGGGTTGAAGGCTGTTGTTCAGATTCTTTTGTCCCTCTGGGTGTTCTCTTAATGTAGAACTCTTCCCCTTTTCCTATGGATGTGGCTTCCTGTGAGCCAAACTGCAGTGATTGTTGTCTCTCTTCTGGGTCTAGCCACCCAGGAAGTCTACCTGGCTCCAGTCTGGTAGTGGGGGTTGTCTGCACAGAGTCCTATGATGTGAACTATCTGTGGGTCTCTCAGCTGTGAATACCAGTGCCTGTTCTGGTGGAGGTGATGGGGGATGCAGTGGACTTTGTGAGAGTTCTTAGCTTTGGTGGTTTAATGCTTTATTTTTGTGGTCACTGGCCTCCTGCGGGGAGGTGGCACTTTCCAGAGAGCATCAGCTATGGTAGTATGGAGAGGGACCGGCGGTGAGCAGGGCCCTAGAACTCCCAAGATTATATGCCCTTTGTCTTCCACTACCAGGGTGGGTAGGGAAGGACCATCAGGTGGGAGCAGGGCTAGGTGTGTCTGAGCTCAGACTCTCCTTGGGTGGGTGTTGCTGCGGCTGCTGTGGGGGATGGGGGTAAGATTCCCAGGTCACTGGATTTGTGTACCTAGGAGGATTATGACTGCTTCTGCTGAGTCATGCAGGTTGTCAGGGAAGTGGGGGAGAGCCGGCAATCACGGGCCTTACCCAGTTCCCACACAAACCAAAGGGCCCGTCTCACTCTCACTGTGCCCCACACAACAGTCCCAAGTCTGTGTCCAGGCAGTGAGCGAGCAGGGCTTGAAAACTTGCCCTAGGCTACCTGCCTCCTAGCTGCGAAAGAAAAGGGCTTGTGTCTTTCCCTTGCCTGTGGAGTTTGCATCCCAGATTTGCACCCTCCCCCAAGTTCTGTCCAGGAGGCTTCTTGTCCCATTCAAATTGTTACACAGTCCAGCTACAGATTTCCTTCTCCCTGTGGAGTTTTACCCCCCTTTCTTCTGGCCACCGCGTCGATGGATCCCTGTGGTGCCAGATAGGAATGGCCTGCTTGGGGACACAGTGAGCTCCCAGGGCCTTTCTGCTGTTTCCACTACCCCTGTATTTTGCTCCGCTCTCTAAATTGTCTCAGCTCCAGTTAAGGTCGGAAACCTTTCCTGCAAACAGACCTTCAGTTTCTCCATTTGGTGGGTGTGTTCAGGAGAGGAGGCTCTCCCTTTCCCACTTCCGCAGTTGGGGCACTCACAGTATTTGGGGTGTCTCCTGGGTCCTGCAGGAACAGTCTGCTTCCTTCAGAGAGTCTGTGGCTCTTCTTGGGATTACTGGTTTGTTCTTGCAGTCTCTCTGTGCTAAAATTCACAGTGCGAGCCTCCACACACTGCTTTGTCTGGAGCTGCACTCTAGACCTGCCTCCCATCCACCTCCACTTTTTACCTTTTTTCTTGGTGAAATTACAGAGCCTAGTAGAGAGCGTCTCACAAACTGGAAACAAGGAGGCCTAGGACCCTTTTTTCTGGATCATGAACATAACTTGTTCAAGTCCAAGACTGCCATCTGTTTGTGCCCCTTTTTTTAGGCTGCCCCTTTGTGAGTACAGGCCCTACTCAGCATCACCTGGCCTTTCAATCATCTGCCCTAAGGCTTTCTTTGCAAATCTTTAAGCTTTCTGGAAGTATGATATTTCAACCAGCATTACAATTTTCTTTTAATTCATAGTATAAGAAACTTCCTACCAGCACAGTTTTTGGCTAGCTGCTACGCAGGTACAAAAAAGTGTAAAATATGTAAGACAGATTTTTTTTTTTTTAAAGATGCCATCAAGCTAGAAGGAATCCAAGAAACGAGGATACTTTTGGTGTAGCATATATGTAAGTATGGTTAGTTAAGTATGGTTGGTAGGACAGAGTGTGTAGGTGAAGATTGTGGAATTCAGGCAAAAGACATGAATGAACTTATATAGCAGGGAAAATTGGGACAGGTTTTAGTTTGAACTTGGAGTAGGAGTCCCAGAGGGGAGACTGTAGGAGATAATATTGGAATTTGCAAAACAGATCATGTCCCTCCTTTGTTCAAAACTTACAGCTTCTCATCTTATTTAGAGAAAAAGTCAAAGTCCCTAGTGGCCTACAAGCTACCACACAATATCCTCCCTGTGCCTCAATTCCCATTTCCCATGACTTTCTTCCTTGCTTCTCCTTCTCTAGCTATATTAGTCTCCTTGATCTGGCCAATATAGATTCCACCTCAGAGCTTGTTTCCTCTGCTTGAAGCTCTCCTTTCCCACATGGCTGCATGGCTCACGCCTCTTTCAGGTCACCTTTATCAGACAGGTCTTTCTTGATCTCTATCACACCCTGAGCCCCACTCCTGCCACTCCCTATTCCCTGTACTTTGCTTTATTTTATTATATAGTGTTTAGGTTATCTATATGCTTTTATTATTATTGCCTTTGTTTTTGCTATTAGGGTATGATGGTATGTGGAAAGTGCTACCCCCAAATACGGCATTTTTGGCATACTGAATATTTAAAGCTGAAGGAAATTGAGAAAACCACAGGAGCAGAAAGGTCCCTTTGTCTTTGTCATTCTCTTTCTCTGACCTCCTTCCACCTTTCTCCCCTGAAGCCATGAAAATAATTCTCTGACCTAAAAGTAGATCATAAGAGCCTCATGTGATAAGTGTCTGCCCTATACCTGGTGGAAAGGAATGAGTACACAGAGACCCAGAGAAAAATCTGAACAAATAGGACTTGCTAAGTTCCCCTCAGTACATTAGGTCATACCTGCTTTTTGTCCACTCATACTTCTACATGACTATCCATTCTTCATCAAACCTAAGCATAAAATAGACAGTTTTCCCTGGTCTTTGGGTCTTCATTTCTGAAGGCACTTGTGTTGTGTAAAACTTTGGTTACATAAAATTGTTAAGCTTTTCTTTTATTTATCTGTCTTTAGATATAGGAGTGTCAGCTATGAACCTTGTGACAGGAGGAAAATATATTACTTTTTCTCCCTTACAAGTGTATGCCCCTGATTGAGGGGATTTTATGTACTGCTGTATCCCTAGCCCCCAGAACCAGTGCCTGGCACATGGCTCGTATTCAAATATTTATTGGACAAAAAAGAAAATGACTGCAGCAAAAAGAGAGTGAGGGAGGGAAGGAATTGGATATGGATCCTATGGTGGTTTAGTTCCAGGCAAAGGAATACAAATTTAACATACTAGTCAGTGGGTAACCATTGAAGGATTTGAAGATGGGAGTAAAGGCAAAAGCATTTCGTTTAGGAAGATTAATTTGGTGAAAAGGTGTAGGATGGATTTTTTTTAAGTCACATCAACTCCCCGCCCCTTCCCAATCCAGCACTCTGCCACACAGCTGTATGTGCTTTTTTAAGAAATGACTTTTAATCTTGAAATAGTTTGACTCACATGAAATTTCTAAACAGTACAGTAAATGCTCTTTCTGTTCTTTCCCCGCAGTTTCCCCAGTGACATTTACATTACTGCAATACACTGTCAAATACAGGAAAATGACCTTGTTACTATTCTGTTAATTCAGGTGCAGACCTTAGACAGATTTCATCAGATTTTAGTGCACCTTTTTTGGGGGATATACAGTTCTATAAAATTTTAACATGTGTAGATATATGTTATTTAATATTTCTGGGTCTGACCTTCTTTAATACCACTCTCCTGGTTCTTGTACTCGCATCATTTACATATGAATAAAGTGAACGGCCTATTGTTTTCTTTGATGTTCTTCTGCACTGTGTTCCATGTTGGTAGATAGGTTCCAGGACCAACCCCCAACACACACACACACACACACACACACACACACACACAACCAAAATCTGCATTGTTTGAAAAACATCCACTTGTAAGTGGACCCTACAGTTCAAACTCATATTGTTCAAGGACCGACTATATATACTAGGTCTTAATTTTTTAATGTTTATTTTAAAACTAGTACATTACATTATTTCTTTCTATTGGTCACTTGTCTACTTAGAATTCCTTTATATCCTTTCTGATAGTAAAATATTTCTACAAGATTGTTAACAGGGTTCTAAAGTTTTTTCCTTTGTCTACCCAGCCCTACTAATTAGAAATATATTTCTTATTAGTAATTTACCAATAATTTCAGAATTGACAAGGGTGGTAGGTTGAAGGAGATTAATCATTTTAAAGTCCAACTTTGTGTTGGTAAGTTCTTGTTCATTCTTTTCAAGATATTCTGCTAACCATATTATTTTACTAAAAGCTGACTTTCTTAGTTTTTATATACTGTGGGACATATTTAAAGTGATTTACAGGCCTTCCAAAACAAATTGTTAAAGTTAAAATCTTATAGTTTAATTCTTGCAACTGTGCTATATGTATATTTTTATTTTTTTAAGACAGCATCTCACTGTGTCACTATATATACATGCTGTATATGAGATAGACGTGCTATATATACTTTATATATTTATATGTTGCTGATGTTTAAGCTAGTAATTTATGTTCTTTATAGGTTTCTGAATAAATATGCAGGCCTAGGTGTGAAGTTGAAGAAAAACCAAAGTCTATCTGAATGTACTTGATTTCTTAACAGGTTCTGAGTTCTGTCCGCACAGAATGGGACCCACTGGATGTTCACTTTGGCACCAAACAGCCTTATCAGCTGTTCACAGTGGAGCACTCCATCAGTGTAGACAAAGAGCCCATGGCTGACAGCTGCATCTATGAATGCATTCGGAATAAAATCCAGTGTGTGTCAGTCACCAGAATACCACTGAAATCAAAGGCCATCAGCTGCTGCAGGAATGTTACTGAAGACAAACTGATTCTGGGCTGTGAAGATTCTTCACTAATTCTGTATGAAACTCACCGCAGAGTGACTCTCTTAGCACAGACTGAACTTTTGCCTTCATTAATAAGCTGCCACCCAAGTGGTGCCATTCTACTAGCTGGCAGCAACCAAGGGGAGTTGCAAATTTTTGATATGGCTCTATCCCCTATTAACATCCAACTATTGGCTGAAGACCGCTTACCCAGGGAGACTCTGCAATTCAATAAATTATTTGATGCCTCCAGCAGTCTTGTTCAAATGCAATGGATAGCTCCTCAGGTTGCTTCTCAGAAGGGTGAAGGTAGTGATGTCTATGATCTCCTCTTCCTCAGGTTTGAAAGAGGACCTTTGGGTGTGCTGTTGTTTAAACTAGGTAAGTCAAGGAAAGTGATGAGTAAGTAAAGTGTTTATGATAGTGACATAATTAAGACAATAAAACTATTCTTAGAATGTAGATTTTTCTATTTGTCATCCCATAAATATGGTTGCCTTTCAAATATCCCTATAGTTTCCTTTTGTGGATGACTTTCTAACTGCCAAAGGAACAATGGATATTGAATAATTTGGAAATTGCACTAATTGTCAATCATGATGCTTCAAAAGCCCCTTTACATTTGATACTCTCTAAAATAAACTACACTACTAAATAATTCCTTAAGAAACAGACATGTGAATATTTTTAAAAGGACTTACTTTGTCCATTGAAAAATTCTGTGTTTGTAGGAATGGAATAATTTTTCTATAAAAATTATTTTAGATTATTGGTGTCTGTTGCTTCCCAGACTGGAATTGTGGGAAGCAAGTGTTTTAAAAGAAAAGAAATCAGATATTTAGTTAGAATTTGCTGAAGATACCTGTATAATTTTGTTTTAGTTTCTCTTTTGGATAAAAATATTCAAAAGGATAGATATTTTTATAGATGTTGATAAGTTAATATCTATAAAATTATATATTAATGTAGCCCGTTTCAACCAAGAGACTTTTTTTTTAACTTTTATTTAGGTTTGTGGGTACACATGCAGGTTTGTTATATAAGTAAATGTGTCATGGGGGTTTGTTGTACATATTATTTCATCACACAGGTATTAAGCCCAGTACCCAATAGTTATCTTTTCTGCTCCTCTCCCTCCTCCCATCCTCCTCCCTCAAGTAGACCCCAGTGTCTGTTTTTTTTCTTCTTTGTGTTCATAAGTTCTTATCATTTAGCTCCCTCTTACAAGTGAGAACATGCGGTATTTGGTTTTCTGTTTCTGCGTTAGTTTGCTAAGGATAATGGCCTTCAGCGCCGTCCATGTTCCTGCAAAAGACATTATCTCATTCTTTTTAATGGCTGCATAGTATTCCACAGTGTACCACATTTTCTTTATCCAATCTGTGATTGATGGGCATTTAGGTTGATTTCATGTCTTTACTATTGTGAATGGTGCTGCAACAAACATTTGTGTGCATGTATCTTTATGGCAGAATGATTTATATTCCTCTGGGTATATATCCAATAATTCCTAGGTCAAGTAATAGTTCTGCTTTTAGCTCTTTGAGGAATTGCTGTATTGCTTTCCACAATGATTGAACTAATTTACACTCCCCCCTCACAGTGCATAAGCGTTCCCTTTTCTCCACAACCTTGCCACCATCTGTTATTTTTTTTACTCTTTAATAATAGCCATTCTGACTGGTGTGAGATGGTATCTCATTGTGGTTTTGGTTTGCATTTCTCTAATAATCACTGAGCTTTTTTTCATATGCTTCTTGGCTGCATATATGTCTTCTTTTGAGAAGTGTCTGTTCATGTCCTTTGCCCACTTTTATTTTTATTTTTATTTTACTTTAAGTTTCAGGATACATGTGCAGAACGTGCAAGTTTGTTACGTAGGTATATATGTGCCATGGCGGTCTGCTACACCTATCAACCTGTCATCTAGGTTGTAAGCCTTGTGTGCATTAGGTATTTGTCCTAATGCTCTCCCTCTCCTTGCCCCCCACCCCCAGCAGGCCCTTGTGTGTGTTGTTCCCCTCCCTGTGTCCATGTATTCTCATTGTTCAACTCACACTTATGAATGAGAAAATGTGATGTTTGGTTTTGTGTTCCTGTGTTAGTTTGCTGAGGATGATGGCTTCCAGCTTCATCCATGTCCTGGCAAAGGACATGATCTCATTCTTTTTTATGGCTGCATAGTATTCCGTGGTATATATGTACCACATTTTCTTTATTCAGTCTATTATTGATGGGCATTTTGTTGGTTCCATGTCTTTGCTATCATAAATAGTTCTCTAATAAACATACGTGTACATGTGTCTTTATAGTAGAATGATTTATATTCCTCTGGGTATATACTCAGTAATGGGATTGCTGGGTAAAATGGTATCTCTGGTTCTAGATCCTTGAGGAATGGCCACACTGTCTTCCACAATGGTTGAATTAATTTACATGCCCACCAACAGTGTAAAAGTGTTCCTATTTCTCCACAGCCTCGCCAGAATCTATTGTTTCTTGTTTTTTGTTTGTTTGTTTGTTTTTTTGTTTGTTTTTTTTTTTAGGCGGAGTCTCACTCTGTCACCCAGGCTGGAGTGCAGTGGCATCATCTCAGCTCATGGCAACCTCCATCTCCTGGGTTCAAGCGATTCTCCTGCCTCAGCCCCCTGAGTAGCTGGTTTTACAGGCATGTGCCACCATGCGCGGCTAATTTTTGTATTTTTAGCAGAGACAGAGTTTCACCATGTTGCCCAGGCTGGTCTCAAACCAACCTCAAGTGGTCTTGAGCTAGTCTCAAATCCTGACCTCAAGTGATCTGCCTGCCTCAGTCTCCCAAAGTACTGGGATTATAGGTGTGAGCCACCGCACCTGGCCTCTTGACTTTCTAAATAATCGCCATTCTGACTGGTGTGAGATGTATCTCATTGTGGTTTTGATTTGCATTTCTCTAATGATCAGTGATGATGAGCTTTTTTTCATACGTTTGTTGGCTGCATAAATGTCTTCTTTTGAGAAGTATCTGTTCTTTGCCCACTTTTTGATGGGGTTGTTTGTTTTGTTCTTGTAAATTTGTTTAAGTTCCTTATAGATTCTGGATATTAGCCCTTTGTCAGATGGGTAGATTTCAAAAATTTTCTCCCATTCTGTAGGTTGCCTGTTCACTCTGATGGTAGTTTTTTTTTGCTGTGCAAAGGCTCTTTAGTTTAATTAGATCCCAATTGTCAAATTTGGCTTTTGTTGCAATTGCTTTTGGTGTTTTCATCATGAAGTCTTTGCTTATGCCTGTGTCCTGAATGGTATTACCTAGGTTTTCTTCTTGGATTTTTATGATTTTGGGTTTTACATTTAAGTCCTTTATCCATCTTGAGTTAATTTTTGTGTAAGGTGTAAGAAAGGGGTCAGTTTCAGTTTTCTGCATACGGCTAGCCAGTTTTCCCAGCACCATGTATTAAATAGGGGATCCTTTCCCCATTGCTTGTTTTTGTGTCAGGTTTGTTGAAGGTCAGATGGTTATAGACATGTGGTGTTATTTCTGAGGTGTCTGTTCTTTCTGTTCCATTGGTCTATATATCTGTTTTGGTACCAGTACCATGCTATTATGGTTACTGTAGCCTTGTAGTATAGTTTGAAGTCAGGTAGTGTGATGCCTACAGTGTGTTCTTTTTGCTTAAGATTCTCTTGGCTATATAGGTTGCTTTTGGGTTCCATATGAAATTTAAAGTAATTTTTTCTAATTCTGTGAAGAATGTCAATGGTAGTTTTATGGGAATAGCATTAACTCTATAAATTACTTTGGCTTTGCCCACTTTTTAATGGGTTTGTTTGTTTTTCTCTTGTAAATTTGTTTAAGTTCCTTATTGATGCTGGATATTAGACCTTTGTCAGATACACAGTTTGCAAATATTTTCTCACGTTCTGTAGGTTGTCTGTTTACCCTCTTCAGTTTCTTTTGTTGCAATTACTTTTGGCATCCTTGTCATGAAATCTTTGCCTATTGTCCAGGATGGTATTGCCTAGCTGTCTTCCAGGGTTTCTATACTTTTGGGTTTTACATTTAAGTCTTTAATCCATTTCAAGTTGATTTTTATGTATCAACCAAGAGACTTTAAAATAAAATTTTATTATGATGATTCACTTGCCTATTATAGCTTTGCATTACTAGCTACGCCCGGAAATATATGATATACTTTAGGTAGATTTCTACAATTTAATATTCTTGAGAGAACTGCATTTAGGTGTAAAAAAAAATTTTTAATTAATGTACATTATGGCTACTTGAAAACATAGAAAGGTAAATACATTTTAAAATCTTTTATGGAATTTGGCTCTGTGGTACAAAGTTAGGTTTTTAAAGACATTGTAGTGTTTGTTAAATAGCTTTCAATTTACTTTGTTTTTTCATGAATCTGCTTGTCTCTGAAGTTCAATACATGAAATAAATCTAGTGAACATGATTTGATTAACCTGAAAGATATAATGCATACAACGTGAGACCTATGTTCTTTTCACATAATAAAAATGCAGCTAAATCTATTCATAATGTTAATATTGTTTAAGAAAAAAATGTTTGGAGTCTCATTTATTATGAGATAATCCAGTTATACTTTGCCCAACTACATGTTTAACAGTTGTATGTCTCCATACACAACACTAATTAAAGTGGATGTTTGATGTTTTGCGTGTCTGTTAAAACACACACACACGCATGCACTCATGCTCTCTCTTTCTCACGCACTCTCTCTCTCTTCCTGCCCCCCGCCCTTCTTCCTCTCTCTCTCTCAATCTCTCCTTTCACCCTCTAAATTACCCAGTTACCTGTCAAACAGAAGGCTTTCTGCCCATGTACACCTAGCTTTTCTTCAGCCCTCCCTTGTGGGCCTACTCACAACAGCTTTGCAAAAAGCACAGCTTTCTCTTCCTATCTCTAGCACATTTGCCTTCTTACTAAAGTAAACAGGCTCTCAGTGTAGGGATTTAGAGGGCTTCCTGCTAATTGCCAGCTTGTAAACTTAATTGGACTGTCTCCCTGGGCACTGTTCCTAAATCAATTAGGCAATGAGTTGGCTGTCACCTCTTTTTCCCAAGAAGGTCTCTTGGAAGAGAATTATCCAATAGAAGTCAAGCATTCAAATGAAAAGGTGATAACTTTTGCAACTGACATTTATCATTTAAATTTTACTTTCAATATGATTCTTAAGTTTTATAGAATAGGGAAAAATTGTACAGTCTTATAGGCTCTTTAAAAGATCAAAATGTGGAATTTCCAAGGATTTTTTAAGGTTTTGTTTCTCATTTTTAATTTATAAGATTAATATTTATTACAAATTATTTTTCCTGGGAAGAGTAGATTCCTTGAAATAGAAGATTCCAACTAGCAGATTTTTTAAAGAAAACCCAGT